GATTGTTATACAGCATGCACTTACTTCCATAGGAAAACAATGCAATACAGCAGTAGCCAAGGTTTCGGCAGTATCGCCTTCTTCAGAGCCTGGAAGGGCATGCTGATATACAATTTACTAGGCAAAACGCTACAATAACACTCACGAGAAGACGAAAAACTCTATGGCAATTACATGGTTAGCAGGTTCTCGAAACACTCTCCGCTTTTTTCGTGACTTCGAATGAGGAAAAATTAGAAGAAAAATCTAGAAAAAAGAACTAGCTGAGAGACAGGCAAAACGAAGGACCCAGAAGGTGTGGTGGTGAAGTGCGCTGCTCCCCAGTAAGGACAACAGCGCGCGTTCGTTCCCTACCGCATACACCCGCGGTCCGGAGTTTTGCAAATATCTCAGCATTATATACGAATTGCAATAGAGATTTTCGTCTTCTTGTGTGTGTTATTGAAGCGTTTGACCTAGTACATTGTATATCAGCACACCCTTTCAGGCGCTGCAGAAGGCAATACTGCCGAAACGTCAGCAGCTACTATTGTATTGTATTGCGTGTGTTTTTCTATGGAAATAAATGTATGCTATCGAGCAACCTCGCGATTGGTGTACAAGAAAACTACGCATTCATATTCCAATGCCGAGATTAATAGAAACTCGATCCTAGGAGCTAACAGCACTCGCTAATGCGAATTGCATTCTACGAGCCAAATCGGCCAAAAGCTTGCAATCCAGTGATAGGGAACTATATGCGAGGGGGTTAGGAGTCGCCTCCAACAAATAAGCTCCATCTCCACTCTGGAAAAGACTGGCAAGCCACCCATGAGGATACCCAGCTTTCACATTCAGACCCCAGCCAGCTAAACGTGGGAATCAAAAAGCTAAAAACACTAGAAAGAAATGGGCCTCATTCCTCTGACCGCGAAAGAACCACCGATTCGGCAACGTTGGGTACGACGAGTACGAAGAGACAACTAAAACCACAGGGCCATTATATGCTGCCTAAATCGTAAAGGACTAAACTGACGACCTATACCTGCGAAGCATGCACACTTGCATCTGAGTTCTCGAAAGAGGACTTGATCATGGAGGCAAGAAAGATAAGGTACAACGTCATCTGACTGGTTGAAATGAGAAGCCGCCACGCATTCAACGCCGTCTGTGACACCGGAGAAGAACTGTTCCGCGAACAACCAACAACGGAGGTGTCGCTGACCTCGGCATTTTCGTTGACACGAGTTTAGCCATGAACATCGATACATTCGAATAACAAACAACCTAGATCGGACCTCTGAGACTGAAGAGATGTAAATCGATACCGGCTTTTTAATTTGACAATTTTCGTCGTTAACGGACCGACATCAACCTACGGCGAAAACGAAGTAGAAACGTTCTATACCGATTTCGAGAAGTTCTACAGAGAAGACCATACATTCTTCAAGGTCATCATTTAAGATTTGAACACTAAATAGAAGAACGGCTAAAGAACGTAACATTGAAAACTACGGATTAGAATGTAACGACGAGGTGAAAGGCTGTCTGAGTCTACATGATGACCAAGATCATACGTGGTAACGCGAGGCTCCACTCTCAACGCTACATGTGAGGGTCTACCATTGTTGAGTACCATGACGAAGTCGGCCAAATTGTCGTACAACGAAGGTTTTCCCATAGCGGTGTCGCTGTTGCTCAAAATTCTACACAGAATCAGACTATCGCCTCCTTCATGCAAGATTCTCAATTCTCGCGGAATGGAAACAAAGCCCTTGAATTCAAAAAACAAAGTTCCGAAGTCGGCACAAACTGGGATCTGTTTTGCTCATTAGCCGACTGTTGGGATAATGCCGTTATTGATAACATCGAAAAGGAATACAGTCGACTTATTCAACATCTACACATTGGCGCCATGAAAGCTGAGAGTCAAGAAGTCACCAAGCGACATCTGCCTCCGGAAGCACTCGAGCTAATCAGCTAGTGTGGAAATTACACGAACTACAGGCAACCGCGAACTCACGTCTGAACTTGCTAAACACTGTGCAAAGGCGTCAAAAGAAGATCTTAAAAAGGAGAAAAGCTCTAGTTATGGCCTAAGGTGCAAAGACTAGCAAGAGTACATCGGAGCATTGCTAGTTAAAAAATTAAGATGATTCCACTCCCATGCCCAAGCAGAGTAGTAACAGCTCCTGAAAAGGCAATATAGAAAATCATTCACGATCACTAATCGGATCTCTTCATTAACCACCTCCTCATACCCTCATACGAAAGGAAGCTGTGTATTTCGCTATATAAATTTGGTTGATAATAAAAGAATAATGATAGTGATTCTTTTCTGCTTTGTAGTTCAAGGAGATTTGCATAGAGTGTCGGGCGATAGCAACGAAATCCACATTCTATTCATAAGAATGTAACTGACCTCCACGTGAGATTTGCCGCTTGAGAATTCGCCCAGTTCTGGCAGTCTTTCTTCTCAGAGAAAGACTTCCCTTGGAAAAAAAAATCCGTGGTAGATGACAACATGACATCGCCATTTCTACTGTGATGTCTTATACAAATTTCTTAACTGTGTCATCTTAATTTTCATCTTTGCATTAGAGGCGCCTGTTGGAAAACTTTAGAATTTATCGTTACGGATAGGTTGTTTGAGATTTCCATAGAGTGTATCGAGCAGTAGGTCATGAACTGCCGATGTTGGTGAGATGCAGTGAATAGTATTGACTTGTTCTGATAAGGAAGTATGAGGCATAGTGTAGCAGAGAGGCGATACAAAATCACATGAATGTGAACAACGTAGTCAATGTAGTAAAGGTGCATGACGGGAAGAAGATAACCAAAATTAAACGATAGAATAGCTTAACGCAAGGCGGCATGGCCTTTATTTCCTGTTTAGTACAATTTTTCCTCTTAATGTTATAGAGCGCAACCAGATTGCGTTTGATGTGATATGAGACGTCTAGAAAGGATAGAGACCCTGGCCTGAATAAAGCAACTTGAACCTGCTTGTGGATTGTTGAAAACAACCTACAAGACATTTCGCACTCTCAAAATTATCTTTTAGGCCCACTGGTATCTTCTAACTTTACACAGTACGACGAACGCCCATTGTTTTCGCTTTTCTTCCAGTTTTTTTTCTACTAAATTTTTTTCTTGGAATGGAAGCATTGTATTAAGGCTTCTGCAGGTAGTTATCAGAACTCGTGGTTGAGAAACAATTCGTTTCGATTTCACGAAGAGTGGCAACGAATCCTGCGACTAAGCCTACTGAGTGGTCGAAAGCGATGTAGATTGCGGCCAACGGAATCGCTCTGTACTGAGTTTTAACCTTGAACGTGGCGCAGATAAACACGTAACAGCAAGACGAAATTCAATTCTGAATCCTTCTATTGAAATGAATCATTTTCTAACTCGTTTTTTGAATTATTCGAAGTGTTGCATTCAGGTCAATGGATTTTTTTTCGATGCAGCCAATAAAATCCACGGCACGTATAAAATAGAGACGCTACGAGAACGAATTTGGTGTGATCAGTTTGTAAACCAACTTCTGAAATAGGTCTGCAATAATTTTCGGTTTGATTTGGAATAATAGCATAGAATTAATGCGATGACAATTTTCACCTAACCAAGTAACAGTTACGACAGCTCCTCTACAAGGCTTAGAATGATTTTATAGAAATATAAGCAAAAGTACAACCATAACGATGCTAAGATATATTATAAGATATCATTTTGATTGTATCTAAGGACCCATGTGGCATAGCGGTCGGAAGCACCAAGCAACACACACGTGGGATTGATCACCGTACCCGTGGCCCACCAAGCCTTCCATCCATCAGAAGTCGCCAAATTGGTACTAGATTTATCTGGGAGAATAGCAGCACTAGCTCGATACATCTGTAGGCCACCGCGAGTCATTTTAAAGGCCAGATATGCATTCAATCACCTTCAACGATGCCTAGTGAAGTCGAATACATGGCGCATCCCACAGAGATCGACCAACACCCAGAGCTTTTTTTATTTGTGGTTGTATTTCACATATTACCCTGCCGTAAAAAATTGTAGTAGGCAGCAAATAAGATTTCAAAGTTATAAGCAGAAACTTCACAGATTGTTCAAATAATATGAAAATATGACGTCAATCATGACTGCATATTGGAGGAAAGAAGTGGAGTGAAGCGGCGTCTCGATTCCTCATAAACGACCTTGATAAGGGGTGCAAAGAACGCTGTTGTGTGACTGTACCATACCGGATCGTATGTTGTGAATCTATGCGTGCCAACCTATTCTTCAAATGGACTTCAATTCCCCTTAACCATTAGAGGATGATGAGAGGTGAGTGAGGTTTTGATTTGAGTGGTTGGTAATCATACAGCTGAGCATTCCCTCAGCGGTGAGTAAAACAACCGCGCTCTTATCAAAGTTGTAGATAATCTTAAACCATTTTTCCTCTACACAACAAAAACTTTCCAATTGTAAGATTTCAAAGCATTTCTTTTGCTACAACTTCATGAGAAATCAATCTCCATAGATTTCGCTGGCGAAGAAATGCAAAAAAACCTTCTTTTCTTCTACGTTGTTTTGTATGCTTGTCTGGTCCATTATTCCGCAAATGTGTCACAAGATCTTATCTTCTCGCTCTAGTTTGTATTAACCAATGATATGACATGGAGTGGGATAGTAGTATCACGACAGAATGTTTCATGAATCATGAATACCCTTTACTGACTAATTGTTTTTGTTCAGCTACCTTTTGTGGATCTCTAGAGCTTCGCGCTCGAAGCAAAATTCTACTTCCATCTTTACTACCGTTGTAAATGAAGTCTTCATTGCGATTAAAGGAAGATATGTTAAATGTCTATGGATAACTTAGTAGAAAAACTGTTTTAGATTTCTTCTCTATTGAGTTAGCCTCTTTCAAATTGCAATAATGTGGTTTCTTGTGGAGAGCACAATCGACGTAGCCAATATTTATAGGTACAACAACGGATGATCAGTTGAAACTGCGAAGACGAGAATTTCTACTTATCAGCCGCCTTCACTACGTTGAAGCAGTCGTTGTGAATGAGCCATTCACCGTCGACCTATGAGTTCAATATGAAATTTTAAGAGCTAACGATTGAATATGAAATTTCAAAACATGACAAATACATTGGAGATTTGCATGTTATAAAAATTTTATCATCAAAAATCCAACTAAAATAAATCTCTAAAAAGTGTTACGTGCTTACCTTCTTCCAAACTTGGAGATATGCTCCACTCTCTCTACCGCGAGTTCCATCTAAGTGATAGCTTCCTCTCTCAAACGCCCAATCATCGCTCCCATTCACTTCCTCAGTTATAATCTATACGAATATTTTACCTCATATTTATAGCTCCGCAAAAGACAGTTTTTCTTGTAATCTACCTGAGCAGTCTGAACACCATCTGCCATATCTTCTTTGAAGTACTCTTCAATGCCTGCAATATTCTCCGCAATAGAATACGTCGTAAACAGTATAAATTAGTATGCAGTGATCTCAAAGAGATATCTTTCCCACAATGATATTATTATCTCATCAATGATCAATTTATCTCAGATGGGCAGGAGTTTGCTACTGGTTGCCGAACATCGACCGAGAGCGGGAATTCAGGATCGCTCCACTAGTGAAGGACTTCTATGTTTCTTTTCGTATACGCAGAAATAGGTAACCTATGTCAAAATAAAGTCGAGAAAGCTACCGTAACCTACCTTCTCATCATAAACAATAATAATAAAAGCTTCATACTCACATCTCTCGAACAAGTTAACCCACTAGGCAACTTTGTAACTCGTGATAAACGAGCACTGTTTACTGTTACTGATACAGGTGTCTTAATTATATAATTTATATTTACAGTACCGGCACGTCCTTTGACTGGGTGACGTCCATTTGGCATAAAATAACCGTCCGGATCATAGATAGCTGCGGCTCCTTTTGGATCACCAGCGTTAAAAGCCTTCATAAATGCCTGTTGGCGCATCTTGATCTCTTGAAAAAGTGCTAAAATTTCTAGATATAAAGACCATATCGAATGTTCAAAAATCTTATTCCAAATCTTTAATATTAACGAAGATTTAGGTAAAATAAGCATCCCACTTTTTGTAGCTGTAATTTTTCCATGATTTCAGCTACTTTGATTAACCCATTATATTTAAACAGACTGAATCATTCAACGTGCTAGCCTTAGTAATATCGAAATTTGATAACGTATACGATTCTTACAGGGAGCAGTTAGAACCGTGGTACTCACGGCAGTCGTCACGAGCATGGTGCTGGTTCGACCCGCCCCAAGTTCACCAAGCCTCTCATTCCTCGGGGTCGTGAAATTGGTGTGGGACTTGACTAGAGAAAAACCACTCACTACATTCCAATTGGGAACGCTATAGCCCGGCTATCTCAGGACTCCACTGAGAATCGACTTGACCAGCATTCTACGACATCGAAGATGAAATGAAACCTCAAGCAGCGGCCGAAGCTACACGTAAAAGTTGGAAGACCTTGTGGACACGATTAAACGAATTGAATTCAGAAGTGTTGAGATCCGCAACAATAAATGTGAAGACGGACGGGTCTTACAAAATAAAAAAAATACAACTCTCAGTTCCCATAGTCCATGAAGTGCCAAACTAAACACGCCAACATAACTTCTTTCAACCGTTCCTCACCAACGATTGAAACCAACACGCGAATCGGCGCCAAAACAGGAAAATTTCAGGTTGTCTTTTAGGAACTGGAGAACCCAGTGGGTAATTCCTCTAGAGATTTTCCGCTGAAATATGTAGACGTAAGTATTTGATTACGTTTGAAAGGATGTTCTAAGCAACGAATTTCGAGGAAATTCAAGGAATAACAATATTCCATCTAATAAATTGCAGCGGTCACCAACGCAAAAGTACACTAACAGCAAATTTGGTTTTAATTAATCTATGGAGCAAAACTAAATTAACTTTTAAACGCGCGAAATTTAGAGCAGCTGTATGCGCATGCCTGATGAGCGATTCGGAACTGCTTGCGCGGTAGTTCTTGTATAAGCTACATATAACACAGTACTCCATAATTTGTCCTAACGGCAAAAAAGGATATTGTATGAATAAAAGGACTTCTAAATGGAAAACACTGGCTTCGAAAATGTACTCAACTACATGCACATAACTACAAGAATTCTGAAATATGAGTAAAGCTCGGATCCATAGTTGCGCTTCGAACTCGTTATTACCTTTCCCAGGGCTCAAGTGCTCTCCACCACACCCAACAGCGGTCCTTGCACTGCTTTCTCTTAGTCAGTTTTTACTCTAACTGTGCTATCACGAAGGAAGAATAGTAGAGAAAGGCGAAGTAGTAAGAACGTTAAAGTTATGGTCCTACCATAAGAACAGAAAAATAAACTCGTAAAACTCTTGAGGGGCTTTAGATAAACTCGGAAAAAAAACCAAAAAAGAACCGGGAAGGCGGGTAATCCGACATGGCCAACATCGTACCTCAGCTTTTATCGATCTGAGAGAGATACCTTGCACTGAAATCTTCACTTGTTAAAATTTAGGCAATAGGAAAAAGCAACTGCCTACAAAACGATCTGTTGTATGGTTCAAACTTATGCTTCGATTTCTTCCATGGATAAATAAAGAAGATAAAGTTCTCGGCGTTGATCAATCCCTGAGGGATGCGCCATCCATTCAACTTCATTAAGCATCGTTGGAGGTGATTGAAGTGACTCGCGGTGGCCTAACGATGTATCGAGCCAGTGCTGCTATCTTCTCAGATAAGTCTAGTACCCGTTTACAGACGCCGGAGGGATGGAGAGCTTGGTGAGCCTGGGGCACGGAGATCGATCCCATGGGTATTGCAGGGCTTCTCCAACTACTGTGCCACCCGTGTCCCTGTTTTCTTCAATAATATTATAAAAATACTTGAAAAAGTAGGCTATTTGTTAATATGACCCATCTACATGTTCTGAAGATGGCGAAAACCATTATACCGGCGTCCATCGTGTATGTATACATTGTTTTAGAAGCGTCATGTTAGTTCATCAAGAACACTATGACTCACTTATACCGATTTGAATTGAAATTTGGTCCCAGATGCTATAGCGACTACACTTTTGTCATTTTGTCCTCCGTAATTTGAACCGATACAGATCAAAGATGTTTGATGAGTCCTTCTCTACCTAGCTAAATCTTGACATTTGAGCACATTTGGGATACTATCCAGAACAAAATACAGGAGAATTTGTTACCCATCCTATTAAATTGCATTCCTAAAAAGACGAGCACGTCATTCCCGATAGGAGTGAAAAAGAGCGGAAAGTGGAAACATTGTTTCCAGCGCTCAGTAAACTTACAGTTGTTTACTGCATTGAGGAGAGAATTAGCAAGTGGTATATGGCGAAAGTAGTTGGCCATGGCTCGAACACGATGTCGCTGTCAGCGAAATAGATTGCACCGAGTTTCGAGGAAAATACTCACCGCTCATCGCTGCAGATGACAGGTCGTCGACTCTTCAATTTGCCCCTCAATGCAGGTTCCACTCAGAGTCTTATATAGCTTTTACGCTGGAATAATCGTTTCCTACTGCAGTAAAACACTTCCGAAAAAACTACGGAAACTAGATATGGCTATTAGCATAGTTCTTTATTCCAACACTACCATTACATATCTCCACATAGATGCGAAACTTTCCTTAACTATAGTATAAAGCACGCAGAGTAAGAAAACACTTCATCAAGCAGCACCTATTGCAACGAAAATTCTGGCGCCCTAGAGCTTAATTAATATATACTGAGAATAGGGTTAAAAACGAATCTTAATAATCAACCAAGAAACTCCTATCTTATAAGCTGTGCAAGTAAGTCGTTTCTTAATACCCATTATTGTACGTCCAAGCAGTGAAGTGTTGCTTGAATACTTTCTTTTTGCTTCACATGACTTGGATTCTTGCAGTGACCACAAAGGTCTCTTCTGAATGGCCATCATATTATCTTCCACATGGATTCCCAACTGTCTATTCCATGAGCTGCAAAATTGGATAGATAATGAAGTTAGCTCAGCAATAAATTTCGAAGTGGTGGCATCTCGAACAAAGCAGTTAGGTCCACCTTGTTGATCACCACGACTGTTAGAAAGTAGTGGTGAAATATGGCCGTTGCCAGAAACAGTTCGACAGTTTCAGAGCTATTACTTCCTGAATCACCATGCTTTCTGATGCTGTATAGTGAAATTGGACGGACATTAACCTAGATATTTATTAACGGCGAATCAAACTACTGTCTTCTCATTCGCTCAATAATAAAGCGGTCGATGATGCCCAAAACTACTTGCAATATTGGTTCGAAGCGTTCTGTAAACGGATAACAAAGGATCACATCACTAAATTAAGCAATGAGTGATCGTCTGGACAAGTACATAATCAATACAAATGAAACCCGAGCATAGGAGAAGCGTAGAACCGAAGACAAAATCATAACACGCATAGATGAAAGGATGCCAAGAAAAAACTTTATGCTAATCTGAAAGCTCCCACTCGAATTCACCCCTTGACAAGTTATTATGAACACAGTCACTTGACCAAACTCGATATAGCATATTATACTCTACAATCAAAATATTTCGGAAAATGTTCATAAACATAACGCAGAACAACTTAATAAAACAAATAACACTTCACAAAAGAAGAAATGGATGACAATATAACAACTAGAACTTCTTACATAAAAAGAAACTATTAATCACTTCTCCTCGGCCGTATACCATTTGCACTGGAGGTAACTTGTTGGAACGAAGCCCTCAACAGAGCTGGCAATCCTGAAATACTTCTGACCTCAGGATACTTTATACATAAACTAACAGTTTAGCTGCAACGAAATGTATAAAAACCAGATTATTCAGAGAGTGAGAATCATTACGCTTGGTTGTACTACGCCATCGCAGAATGTTTTTAAAATTCATACTCGACTTTGCTGAAATCTTACTCCAATCCTTAGTCTATGTAATCCACAAACATCGATTAGAAAGCATTGTGGCTCAGTGTCTCAGATCATTGTTCACATCAGCACCTGAGATAAGGATCTCCAAACAAAAAGTGGAAGAAATACGTTTCACGAACTATAAAAACGATGATTTCGTCTTAACGTAATAAAGCAATTTCTGTTGTATAGGAAGTGAACTACTGATTCCAAGAACTTTCACTGCAATTAGTAAAGTTACTATGAGCTGGGTCACATTCATTCAAAATTGAAAGCGACCATTATTTTATACTGCATAACTTCTATTGAGGTCACGCCTTAGCAAACGGCCAATGTACGATCCAGTTGATATTGAGCAAACATAAATCTTAATTGCATTCTTCAAAAACGAAAACAAATTGTGTAATAATGGATGATCTCATCGAGCGATATTGACTAACGGTGGGTGGAAATCCAGTGCAAATGAAGGCCCAAAAATAGACAAAAAGTCGAATCATGTAGAGAATAAGTCAGAAACCTGTCACTACGATTGAACTAATAAGAAAAATGTGCACACCAACACTCCTGTCCCTAGAAGTTAGGAAAATATAATAGCACTGTAAAAATTACATACAAGCTGGATTAGTCTTAGTATACTTACTCGGCTTCTTTTGCTTGAACTCGAAACTTTTAAACAGACTCTTTTAAAAAGGGCAAATAAGGAAAAAATGCATGAAATGCAGTAAAAACCATCGACAGAACGTAACTTTATAAACACCCACGAGTTTACTTCGACACCCAATTAAAAAGAAAATAAACTCTCTTGGTATCACACTAACCCCATGCGATAAATTTCGCCATGCCTAGAGATTAGCATACACAGTCCCTCCGAATGGTATCGAAAATCATGAGCAAAAGTAAACATTACTTTTGTTTGGGATACTATTCACTTTTACAGTAGGTTGAAGACATAACAGATTTGTAAAAGAAAGATCAGTGTTCTCCATAGAGACGTCATATGAAGTCAAAAAACGCTGCTAAACGAAAGAAAGCTGAATAATCCAAGTTCATTAGTCACAAACCGTCGCACTCTCGTCCATCCGTCGCCTTCGTCCCTTTCGATGAGTAACAGTTCCTCACCATCCCGCATATCTATTGTGCCCTCCGTGCCACCTTCAAATGGGAACTGAGCAACTGCAGTACCAAGTGCTGGCATTGCACATTCTTCATATACCTAAAAGCTTCAAAAATTCCTTTTCATTTGCAGTTGTCTGATTAAATGGCAATGAGAAAACACTGTACTCTTAGATTATTTAAGTAGATAGCAGTTCAAAAACCAAATGATCAATTCCCAGGATCGACTTTCTATTAACCTCGAACGCGATACTGCCGAAACGTCAGCTGCTGTTGTATTGTATTGCGTTTTTCTATGGAAGTAAATGTATGCTGTATGGCAACCTCGCGATTGTTGAACAAGAAAACGACGCATTTAAATGATCAATGTAGTAAAAAGAGTTCAAGCCTCTCAAGTTGTACCCAACAATGAAACACGTGTAAAATATAATCTATGAACGCATCCTACACAGAAGTCTCACGAAACAACGTGATCCTGGAATTTCAAAACCGATAAAGCGATAATATCTACACTTCACAAATTCTCTTTTATGAGCTGAATTTCAACTGATAGATATAATCTGTTAGAATTTAATAAAGTATAAACGAAGCAATCACCGGAAAAAAACGGGACGATAACTGTGAGACTGATTTCACTCACTGCACCATATTTTGTCTACTTCGGAGAGAACTCGATGAATTTCCATTCCGTTCAAATCATTATGTTCCCAAACATAATTTTTTTGGTCAAATTGCTCGCTCAAGTGTAAACTCACAAGAATCGGAAGGAAATCAAGGAAGGTGCATTAGCACGCCTAGTTGCATATGGGGTGAAAATTTGATATGCGGAAACGTTTATGCCGTGTTCTACTATAATGGGCCTAATGTCTAAACAAGATAAGAACGAAAGATGAGAAATTCATAATTTAACATGGGACACTCTGGATATCCAAATTATCAATGAAAACTGGTATTACTTACTTCATCGCGCCGTTGATTAGCCGCGTTAGGATTGGCAGTGTTACAGCCATCGTTACTCGTTACGCTTTCTTCACTATAACTACCACACTGCGATGTTTGTGGTTGAGGTGGACGAGCCGGAGGGACGCTACTGTTTGAACTAGCCGATCGAACCGACGGTGGAGTGTCACTTCCACCTACAAGACCAGATTTCGACAAGACGAAATGGGCATGTGTTCACAAATGCTACCTCACATTAATAACGAAATCATATGGAAATTGAATCAAATGTTTCGAAATAGCTAGCTGACAATGCTGTGGATCATTTTGGCTTTTTTTGTGGTTAGAAGTGCTCGGCAATATGCACATGTTCCTTGGTTCGATCCCGCGTCACAGTCAAATCAAGCCCTCCACCACTCTGGGGTAGGCAAATTTACATCAAACTCCTCTGAAAGAATTAAAACGCTGGCTTGATAGATAGATCGGTTATAACAAGTCATTGTGTAGAGCAAATATGCATTCATTCACCATTGCGATGCTTAATGAAGTCAAACTCGTGATACATCCTTCAGAAATTTATCAACGCTGGACGTTTAGTCCCATTTAGATTAACGATAACACTTTGAATACATTTTACTTTTAAAATCATTCAAGAAGAACAACATGGTAAATGTTAGATGCAGTATCGTTCTTTCCTGTGTCCATCAACAAAATACTGTAACAATAAGGCTTGGAAACAAGACAACTATGCTTCAATAGACTGAAACAGCCTTGGTTTTATCAAAATTATTCTTTCTGGAAACACGTCGAACATAAAACTACACTACAAATAAAAAACGACACTACCCAATGGCAACGATTTCTGTGGCGTGTGTTCGCTACTAAACATAGAAAAAGTCTCTCGACTATAAAATTATCTCTTCACGAAACTGTCTTCTGCAAATTGTTAAAAGTAGAGAGTAACTTTCCAGGTCTCACACTCAGCACGACTATTTGAGTTAGAGAACCTATCGACTGAATAATAAGCAAATTGGAAACCTCTCTACGACAGGATAAATGGCTCAAAGAAAATGAGTTAATGAGTTTGAGTTTCGCGCCTCCTGAGCTGTGGTAGTAGTAGCGCAGAGGATCGCAACTTCCTTACTAACGTAATAATAGAACGTATACTTTTTTGATCTGATAATGCAGCCTTCTACTCGTTTTTAGTAGCTTAGTAACATATAAACTAACTTACTGCTTCATTGCACTGCAACAAAAAATTCTGAGAAGAAAATTGACGTAGGACAGAATCATCACTTAGATAACGTTTCAATTTTGGCCACAAGTTTTTATTTAACGCAAATGCAAAATTACTAACCTAGAGGTTGATTATTCTGCAGTTGAACATCATCAAGAAGAAGACGAAATTTATTTATTTGTTGATTGATGGATTCGATCTCTTTCTCATACTGACACAATTGAGTTTCACAATCAGCAGCATTGCCCATTTTTGGATTAGCCGTGTACACCTCAAGAAAACAAAACTATAGATTAATAAACCAAAAAAACTCTTCACATTTTCCAAACACTTCAATGGCCTAAATAGCGTCGCAGTAGATTTAGAAATCACTATTTTTATTGGGACAATAGCATGACGCCGATATAGCAGTTGTGTTACAATTCTAATATTGCACAAAATGACTGCGTAAAAGAGTGGATAAAGTTAACCTTTCAGTTGAAAAAAAAGCAGTAGACAGCAAATAAAACGTCAAGATTGTGGTTTCGACTACAGCCTCAGCTTAGCTGTGTTCAATGCCGATTTTTGCTCCCCAGATCAATCCCACTGACGTATTGAAGACGCTGAATTGTTGATGGCGGCCTTAGGTAGAAAACTAGCTGATAGAAACGCAAAGCAAGAGCCTCCGTGGTGCTGTTTGTAATAAACGAGCCCCTGGAAAGGATAACCAGGGTTCGATCTGGCCCGAGGTCCAGGTTGTGTGAATATCTCAGCATCGTTGTGGTTGTCTTTCAGAGTGGACAAAGTTAACAAACTTGGAAATAATATCGAGTTCAGATCGTCATTGTCAGCATAGGCGGGCAGGTTATAATACCAGTAGAAACACAACCTAGATTTGTTTCGAAGGCAATCTTTTTCCAACTAAGCATTAATAGCATGGTTCACAAAAATGTACTAGAATAGAAATATACTGAGCAATTTAATACTGTCATTTTCCAATAGAAATCATCGTCAAGCAGTGTATATAACAAATTTGAACTATTTCCCACCTGTTTCATTTTTACGAGGCCTTCTCTACTTTGTTGACATTTCTCTCTTTCTTTTTCTAACTCCGCAACCTTAGCGTGTAATCGGCGAATTCGTTGTTGTGGTGGAAGCTGTCCATAGTCACCGTTTCCATCGACCTAGAATTAACTACACCAGTAACAAAACACTTCATAAAGCTAAAAGCTCTCAGCGTTGATTAATCCCAGAGGCACTCGCCATGTATTCGACTTCATCAAGCATTGTTAGAAGCGACTGAATGGATATCTGACTTATACAATGACTCGCCGTGGCACCATTGTATAGAGTCAGCGCTGCTATCCACCAGACAGGTCTGGTACTAATTTGCCGAACTCTAAGGCGTGGAAGGCTTGTCAAACCTAGGACGCTGAGATCGATCTCATTCGTATTGCAGGGCGCCTCTAACCTTTGCTGTGCACGCGCCCACGAACGAGCATAAGTGATGAATTAAATACATCTTAATTTCGTATTATAGATAGCAACAAATATCCCCTACATCTTTTTGGGTAACAAAGTGCAAGAGTAACAATTTCTACAAACGGTTCATAGAAAATGCCATACTGAAAAGAACCGGGCTCAAAAGTCTCATTGAAATTAATGGTACGGTTGCTTGCCTTATGTTTGTCGCCACCTCCAAAGAACTTCTGATGCATCGACTGCTTGCGTGAGACTCCTTTAGAATCTTTTTTGCCTCCACTTAACACACTTCTTTTCAAGGTGACATCTATGTGGGGGATCTCTGAACAATATTTAAATGCAATAATTTCTTGCTCAACTCAGCCTCTTTTTTTAAACAAAACGAAACCTCCGCCAACGCTGAGGCAGCTGTCCGGTCGACCCAAATCTTCGAATTGAATGGGAGGAGGGTACACGTATCCAGTCCTGAAAAGTGGAAGATTTGTTATTCTAGGAACGTAAGTTCTTCAACATCAAATACTTGTAGCTTGATTATTGGTTACAGAGAATCTCATTACCACAATATGTCCATAAAAAACTTTCTTTTATTTTATATGACCCGTCTTCATGTCTACTATGCAGATCCCAGCACTTCTCACCATTGATTCGTTTCCTCGCATCCATTATCACGAAGATCTTCCAACTTTTAAGTGCGGCTTTGGCTGCTGCTTGAAGATTTTTTCATTTTCCATGTGAATGTCGTAGAATGCTGGTTGAGTCGATTCTCCTTGGAGGGGTCGTTCCCAATTGTATTGCAAAGATTTTTTTCCTCGGACAAATCCGGTGCCAATTTCCAAGCGCAGAGGGATGAGAGGCTTGGTGAGCACGGTGCGTAATCGAACTAGCATCGTGTTCATGATGACCGACATCACTACCGCTGTGCTATACGTCCAGTATTGATAAAATTACACACTCTAAATTGGATAAATTGGGTTAAAGGGAGAGAAAAAACATGGACTACGCGAGTTGAAACAGAACGACTACGCAATATTTTTGAAAAAAAAAGGATAGAATAAAGTGGAAGGACTATGTACTAAAAAAGTAAAGACGAAATTACTGAAGAGGTCAAAACTGGACAGTACTAGTGCTATTAGCACATTTGCAACTATATTCGTTTCCAAATCTTTCGATAGCTAAAGTATTTACGGGCTTGAAGACTTGAATAACTTCTAGAATTCCCCTATGGCTTTAAAAACAAACTTGAACTGCTCGACGACCATTGCGGTATCTTGCACGGCATCGATTTGGTCAACGGCCTTCTTCATGTCTTCATGACATCTCGCTAAAACAGACCGTATCAACGCAAAAGAAATAGGAGAAAGTACATGAAGTGTACTAGCTAATAAATGTTCTCATCTGCAGTAATATATCGTCAAAACGTAAAACTTGCGAACAGCTCAGAAACAGTTCATGAATAGCTATGATAAAAGGATTAAGGATAAAGCTCTCAGCGCTGATCAATCCCTGTGGGAGGCGCCATGGACTCGATTTCATTATGCATCGTTGGTGATGACTGAATGCATATCTGGCCTTTACAATGACTCGGTGGCCTACCGATGTATCGAGCCAGTGCTGCTATCCTCTCAGACAAGTCTGCTACCAATTTCCGACCCCGTCGGGATGGAAGACTTGGTGAGTCTTCGGCGTCAGGATCGATCTCATGTGTATTGCAGGGCGCCTCCGACCACTGCGCAACACGCGAATAACTATGGTAGTCGTTGTAAACAATCCGTATTGAAACACAGCTGGAATGAAGACCTATATAGCCTACTAACACTTTAATCAACGAAGTAGAGTGGCCGAGATGAACGTAAGAAGTCGAATTATGAGGATTTTAAACAGTAAGTGTAAATGAAAAACGAGAAGGAACAACTGACCTATAATTGGACGAACATCGACCTCGGATGCTATACAAAGTTCCATCGCAATCTTGGTGTCATTGATTCGCTCCAGATCAATAGCCTAAATATGCAATAATTCAAGTATTTTCACACGAAGGAATCATTATTACATTGCAAACTCGAGAACCCCGAATTAACGAAAAAAGCTGTCTCGAGTAAACAACGAAACCATGCATAGAAATCGTTCCCTCTGCTAATTTTTATGATAAATAAAACTGATTCAGAATACCAAGTAAACGTGGAACAATTTGGAATTAGCAAGTCAGCTAGAGACCACAATAGCTGAGTTGGTAACGCACCCGTTCTAGAAGTCGGTATCATTTATGAAATTGGTATCGACTAATGCTACACCAACCCTCATCCTTGCCAAAGCCTCAGGAAGAAGTTGTGAATAATGAGCACTTTGAGCATCATTCGCACATTGAAGAGCATGAGCGTATGCATGTTTTGCTTCTTCACTGATATTACTTCGCATCTATGAACACGAGGTTAAACGGCAGTAAAGTTGAAATCATATAACCCAGAAAACCGAAACAGAAAATAAATGTAACAGAAAAAAAGACGAAGGAAGAAAACAATACCTGTGCATTATTTTTCGCCTTGTCTAAATCAAGACGAGAAATCTCCATATTCTTGTCGGCCTTTGCATACTTCAAAAATGCCGCCTCGGCTTCTTTGAAAGTTTTACTACAAAATAAAGAAGAAAAAGAAAATACCGATTATTTAACATTAAAAAACAAATAAACCAAAACTTCGAACCCATAGTGCTTTTGAGCCTTAAAGAGCTGATCCATTGCAGTAGTTAGGTTAGCATGAATTGTTTGTAAATCAGAAAGACAATGCTTCCGCTGGGTACGATGTACTCCAGCCCTTGCAGCTACGTATGGAATCACTTCTTTCCGAATTCGTTCTCCAATCACCTTTAATTGCACGAGCTCAACAAAAAAAGCCTAAAAGTCCTAAAATCCTAGACTCAGAAATGAAAACTTCACCTAACTGGGCAAAAACCATTTAAAAAATGAAACGCAAAAAGAAGAAAACAAAAGGACAAAGCCTAGTACAGCCTGCCTCACATTGCGACATATGAAGTAATGTTGGTCTATGACCTAGCTGATATCCATTACTTCACTAGGTAAATAACGAATAAAGTGTTTTAGTAAAACGCTGGGGTCAATGAAAAGGGGACTAGTTTTCATCTTTGACAGTCAACACAAAACATACCTCATGTTGTATTCTTTCCTTGACAAGCCTACACGAGGTTGATAGGCAATCGTTATTCGGCTGTTTCGACGGTTTCGTCTTCATCAGAGCCTTCCCTTCATCAAATGAAACCGTCAAAACAGCCGAATAAAATTTATCTATCAACATCGTGTAAGAATATAAAGGAACAATACACATTAATTAGTCATACCGAGGTCAAAGGAAAGCTAGCTTTGAAATACCTCGTGTTGTCCGGCGAGCGATTCAAGTTCGCGAAGTAGGTTAGCAAAGGATCGCACATAGGTGAAATTCTTAGTCGCCTCCTCATCTTCTTTCTTTCTACCCAACGACTTCTTCGCTAGAGTTCTAAAACAAATAACCTTAGTTAATCATAGCTTGGAAAGAAAACCATAAAATGAAAAAAATGACTGTGCCAACCTTAACTTTGCAGCGTACTCCTCCTCTATTAGTGCACGTTCTTTAGCAAAAGTACCTATTCTCTCCAAAAACTCTACACCTTTTGCTGTATGTCCAGCTATAGCATCTGTCTGGTCCTAGAAATTCGACTCATAAATGGCCCAGAAAAAGAGGTATCACTTAGAATAAAATATGCAATGATTAACATGCAAAACGGCTCTATACATACGCATTCGAGCCTGAATGTAAACGTGCGACTTTCAAAAATGTTCAAAGCGCACTAACAGGAAACTTTTCGAATCATCAAAATATTTTATACAGATACATGTATATCCGTATATATATATATATATATATATATATATGTATACATATATATATATATATGAAGAATGTATATAATTGGACAATACTAAGTTCTATCAGTACATAAACATGGCCCGAAGCAACAGATTCTGGATATCGTAGAAAATTAGAAGAATGTAGAGAAGGTTAGTGCGATATAGTGAACTACTAACAGCCTTGTAGCTTCATTTCTATACCTCCATAAGAGTCTTTTGAGGGTGTTACCGCACAAGAAAGACATTCTTGCTCGAGTGATTAATGCTGCACAGTAGTGCTAAACTTGTTAAACACTTCCTTATCAGCTCAAGAGATCGACTTTCCATAAACCTCGCCATAAATATTTATTCACATACTCTTATAAACTGATCTTGTTGAGCTGATGCGAGGCTGGTCCAACTGTCGTTGTTGTTGTTGACGTTGTTGTCGATGCTGTTGTTGGTGTTGGACGATGAGCCTCGCCCCAGCTCAACAATATCAGTTCATAAAAACTTCCTTATCACAACAGTTTTCTACTGTCACTTTTTCAGCTAGGCAAGAACACACTACATGAGGACTATGAAACCTTCAGCATGATTTCTTCGTAATATTTTGGCTTACGACTATTTTGGTAGCTTTTCACTATCCAACTGTTGCGTACAATACTATTAATAGCTGTGTAAAATCCACGTTCCATCTCACCTCCCACTGTTGCAAGAAATGGATTCTTTCTTCAGTATAGAAGAAAGGGTGCAGTAAATAAGGCCATTTTCTTTCTTTCGCCTCGAATTCATACAAGGCTTGTTTTGTCGAGTTTCTTTGATTTTCCAGTTTAGTTGCACTGACCGAGAACTGGATCTTTTTCGGACCTCCCTCTAGTGTAAAATTTATACAGTCTTATGAGGTGAGGTTTAATTAAACGTAATCAAGTACGAACCTAAAGGATACCTACAAAAAGCTTGTAGTCACCATCTGAATCTTCATTATGAAACCCGGAACAACGATGCACATTCTGCTTCTACGCAGTACTTAAGAGCGATGTTGCGCGAATGCTTTTAGCCACGAATCCTATCTAATACTGATCAGTGCCCAGAATATTAATACCATTAACCATTGAACCTTTAATTCCCACGTAACTAGATCCCTTACCCTGAAAATAAATTTAACTCTACGCGAGGTTGAATCATACAGAAACAAAGTGAGTCAGTGCTAAGATATTCCGCGAAGCAAATGACTTTGTCATCGCTCGATCTTCCCCCTAAATCTATAACAAACGAGACTTGAACATAACGGCGAGCGCTTGAAACCTGAACTAATGGTGAAAATGATCTGAAAACAAACGCGCGATGATACCCACCGGTTCGCTTCCGTCATAAACAAACTTAGTTTCAATGTTATACCTTTTTATTTTCTTCCTACTACAATTTCGCGGCAGGGTACTAAGCGAAATAAAACCACAACGTTGCTGAGATATTTGCAAAACTCTGGAACGCAGATGTCTATGGTGGGGAACGAACGCGCTATTGTCCTTTCCGGGGAGTAACGCGTTCACCACCACACCATGCGGGTCCTTCGTTTCGTACGTCTCTCAGCTATTTCTATCGATCTTTGGCCAACAGCAATCACCCGTCAGCGGGGTTGATCTGGGGAGCGCAAATCGGCATAGAACCCAGTTAAGCTATGGCTGTAGTTGTTTGCCGCAGCAATCACCCGTCAACGGGATTGAAAAATTAGTTAAAAACTTAGTTTCCTTCTAACGTAACACGATGGGCTATTCCTCTCATCGAATTACGACTAGGAAGAAACTTGAAGAAGAAGAAGAAAATAAACAATGAGAATTCCAGTAAGTACAAAAGCAAATAACTCATTACACACACAACCCTGAACCAATGACAAGCGAACCTTTGATGATGAGTACAGACGATAAGAAAACACATTTTGACTCGCCTTAAGTTGTTGTAGGGAATCATCGTGATCTGAGGCTTGTCGAGGGCTGAACTGAGCGAGATCAAGCCAGAGCAGCTTCAGAGTAGAGGATCGTAACGGGGCATTCGACGACATTCGTTTCAACTTTTTGAGTTCTACAACGTCTACGCTAAGTGCATAACGCTTGTTCAAACCAAACCAGAAATGGTCAGCGCTTCAGACAAAGTGCTGCTACAGGATAGCCATCGGTAAGACGTGGGCCGTACGAGTCACCGTCAGGTTCACATAGGAGCGCAGAGAAACACAACGGGATTTGATGAAACGCAGTACGTTCGTGCACCCGAGAGCACGTCAATCGCGGTGGCACCAGACGATCGCCAGCTGGCCACTCGCCATCCGCATCAAACCTACCCCCATAGACCCAATTTCCTACTCCAGCAATACAACCTGGAGTTTCACTTCTGTCTTGCGCGTTTTTTTTCGGTTTACGTATACCCAACGAAGTATACTGGTAAAGTAAATAGAAGGATAAAGCTCTCGGTGTTGATCAATCCCTGAGGGATACGCCATGTATGCGACTTCATTAAGTACCGTTGGAGGTGATTGAGTGCATATCTGGCCTTTATAATGACCACCGATGTATCGAGCCAGTGCTGCTATCCTCCCAGACAATTCTGGTACCAATTTTCCGACCCCGGAGGAATGGAAAGCTTGGTAAGCCTAGGATGCGGGGAAGGATCCCGTGCGTATTGCACAGCGCCTCCGACCACTGCGCCACACGTGCTCTCTGTTACTAAGGCATTTCTTGGAATATAATTATGAAAACAATTTAAGAATGTTAAACGTCCTGAAAGAACAATGATGCGATCGTTTGCATTAGCAAATAGGATATCTCATACTCTAACGTCATGGTTAGAAGAACTGCGAAACATGACGGATGACGGCCAAACTGAGGCCATTCGAGAATCCGCTTTCGAAACCAGATAGCCATCGTCATTTTGTTGCCGTCGTTGCCAACAAGAAAACGTGAATATGAAGTTCCAATGAAAAACTTTTAAGGAATGTTTAAGGCACCTAGAGGCTACGCCTTCTCCTATATACCCCTTAATGTCGGTTGAGAAAATTCAGGTGATACAGAAAAAAGAAATAACATGACTCTCCACATACACTTCATCACACTTGAACCTTCCCATGTCACGTATACCAGTGACCTCAACAGTTTTCACATAAGGCCCGATATGTATTGCGCGCAGTGAGGGAACAAAACGTGCAAACTGAACGAAATTTATTCCTTCCAATGTACTTCCTCGTTTATTTTTCACCACAAAGCTCTTTCCAGCAGTTTTCATATTAAGCCGATAGTTCATCGTACACAGATTTCGTCTGAAACCTGGATCGTCAGAACATCCGTACACTTACCAAGTTAGAAAGAAATCTGCTTTTTTTCGGAGTCCATATAGACTCGAAACACTGTTTATGTTGAAAAGGGCACCTATGTAACACATTCTGTTTGCTGCTAAAGAGTAAATATGTCTATGCCCTACTTAAACAAAGAAATTTCACACTTACAGACATTATTTCGCTATAACAAGATGATAATTCATCAAAGAAACTTCTTCAGAGTGACTCCGCATTAACAGTTTGGCGCTCTAGAAAGTATTTCCAAGTTTATCTCCAGAAACGCTTATCAAGTCCTGTACAACAACCTGTTACTGATTCTCTAAGCAGCACTCAAAAACATCCTATTTCACAACCGAAAACTTGCATTTATGCATGCATTCAATTGTTATCTCCCACACAGAATTTATTCTTCCCAACGGTTTACCCTCTCATCGTGGCTGAGAGGTATTCCTGGGTGTCGGGTTGTCATGTACAGCGGGTGGATTTGTCCTCCTAGCAGGGTCTCCCAAGCTGAGGAATTCGGCGTTCCTATCGGGAAGCCCTGCTAGGAGTAAACCAGTACCAACATCCACCACCGTTCTGCTACCAAAATAGTCGCATGGTGGCAAATCTCCCCTGATCCACAAGGGCGGTGACTGTCTGTTGTGGTGACGACCTGGGCAGACTATAAGCCCGGCTGACCTCAGGGTTCCAGGGAACTACAACAGCTAAACAATCCAAGCTCCGCAAAAATGGAGAATATGCTGGGGTGCGCACTACCATTGAAGACGGCCCATCCAAGTATCCAAGTAAGTACTGAGAATTAGCATTCTTTACATATAAGTCCCTTGCACTTGCCTACAATCAACACTTTTTCACATAGAAATTTCAACTCCTCACTTGAGATTTGGGCGCGTGTGGCGCAGTGGTTGGAGGCGCCAGTGCGACACAAACATCGAATCGATCCCTGCGATGTACAATCTTTAAACACAGGTTACATTTCTTACCTTTTGACATAGAGCCTTCAGTTATCATATACATACAATCCTTACATCGCATTTACTCCATTTCTAAAGTTCTACACCATTTTGATCACTACCGAAACATTCTGAAGGGCACATGTGGTGCAGTGCTCAGAGGCACCCTGCAACACACATGGGATCGATCCCCGCTCCCGTGGCTCGCCACGCCTTCCATTCCTCCAGGGTCAGAAAATTGGTACAAAACTTGTCGGGGAGGGTAGCAGCATTGGCTCGATAAACCGTTAGGCCACCGCGGATCATTGTAAAGGTCAGATATGCATTCAATCACCTCTAAACGGTGCTCAGTGAAGTCGAATGCATGGTGCATTCCTCGGGGATTGATCAACGCCGATAACTTTACCCTTTTTTTTACTTGAGATTACTTTATACTTTGTACCAATTACTCTTTAATATCAATCAGCTATATCATCGGTATTTAAAGTCTCCACAGTAATGTCTCATAAAGCCTTCATATTGCCTTGTAACACAATTCTTGCCATTACTCTGCTGTTGGCGCATAAGTAGCGGCCTCTTGAAGGAAATGAGTGGTAAAAGCCGTGTAAGCACTTCAGTGTAATACGATGGCTTACGTTGTGTTGTGTTCATTTCTCTCTCGTACATAAGCTTCATTACTACATTATTTCATTACTGTATCTGACTATATGAAAGGAAACATCCACAGTGATTTCATTTCACGGAGAAAGTAAAAACTTTTGCTGAAATCTGTGACATTCCAAAGCTGAATTGTATCCAGTCAGCGAAACAATGAAGATCCCGTTCACAAAGAAATTTCCTGCATATGCAATTATTTAAGGTGCTAGATGCTGAAAAGTATCTGATATTACGACTACTTAAATTAAAGGCCATGAATTCCTTTACAAGCCTTCCAGCTAGTTCCAAAAATCAGGAAATCGAACTAACACGACTGGAGTCAACTTGAATATGAATCCAACATAGTCAGTAAAACTATTTCACGAACCATTTGCAAACACGCAGATGCTTATGACCTATGAACTTCAGCTGATGGACAAGTGATGCCGTTAAAAGCACTACGACGGAAGTCGATGTAGGATACGCTAAACTATAAGGACAATTATTGTCCTACATGACCTTAATGGTTAGTGAGCTTAAAGAATTCTTTAGCCTGCATAGAATAACAT